CTTGGGCCATCTTAAGCCGCTTTCCTAGGCACATTACAGAGTGCTAAATCAGAAGTGGAGCTGCTGGCACTTGAATCAGCACAGCTTAAAGCCAGGATGTTAGAACTCAATTTGGTCTTCCAATTTGAATGGCAACATCCAAATATGTGTAGTATCAGGCAACTAGAATCAGAAATGAAGCTGGACTCAAATCTAGGTATTCAGACATCCCAAGTGCTTTATTAAGCACTGCACCAAAGATCTTTCTCCAAATCAACTAATTTTAAACTTGAATCCATAATATAATACTTGTTCACAACATTTCATTCCTTCAGTATTGTGGCTAACTGTGTTTCTATTAAGTGGCCCCATATGACCTGTTCTTCATCACCAGGAACTTTTTGCTATAACAAATCTACAAAGATCTTTCATTCATCTAGATTGACTATGCCAGGCTCTCTTAAAGCTCACTAAAGTTAACAGAGCTATAAAAAGTTCACAGACAATATCCAGCAATTCACAATGGCATCAGACTCCAAATCTTAGGACATCAGTTGATAGCAAATTCTTGGCTGGATACAGTTACAATTGATATGGATACCAGCTGGCTCACATTAGCTACCAATTCACCAGCATTTTCTTCTGTGAACTTGCTTCCCCTTCTCATATTTTCTATGCCCTCACTCTTCATCTGGCATCAAGTCCCATATAAGACCCTCATATATGCTCCTGTCTCAGCCTTGTTTTGAAGGAAAACAAAATTAAGATGGCAATAAATACAAGCAGGTCAAAATATCCCCCACCCTGATCAAGTCATAGATAATCAAACAAAGCCCATAGAGAAATAGACTCCTTAATTATAGAGGAAAGCAAGACTCCCAGCCAGAAAATGTACAATTACTTGTCATAAGAAATTATGGCATCATCAGTCAGCAAACTAACCAGTGTCTCTTTCAATAGAACTCATAACACATGTTGGAAATTAACACCAAAACAAAATTCAAAGAAATTAGTGGATTTCTGACAATAACTGTCCTCGCAGGTCCCTGAGTATTATTTCTAAATAAAATAGATCACATTTAACTTTAGAAAAAAAGAATTTATTGAGGCATCAGTGATTAAAAACATTGGAAAAGCAAAAATGACACAAAACAAATAAGCCAAAAGAATTATATTCCATCCATAATTAAGAAATGGCTTCTAGAGGCATACTGCATTATTTATATTCCAACAATGATAATTATAAGGAAATAATTAGATGTGGATCAGGGAGCTAATTGATCCATCCGTTGACCCTACTAGCAAGTTTTTGTCAGTTTTCCCAGATATGATCAGTTTTTATACTTCTACCACTAGATTGTGCTCACGTTTCATGAAATTTCAGTCACTTCCAGGTTAGTAGTAAGAGAATCTGGTTACCTATTGTTACTGTCAAAAATTATCACAAGCTTAATGACTTAAAAAAAGTAAAATGTATACTGTCACTCTTTGAAGGATAAAAGTGAAATCACTCTCTCTGGCTCAAAATGCAATGCAGGGAGTGAGGTCTGTGCTCCAGCCAGTATCTACAGAATAATCTCTTCATTGCCAACTTCAGCTTCTGGTAGCCTCTGTCTTTATGATTAGATGACTTTCATCTTTGCCTTCATGATGACATTGATTTTCATTTTGAGTATAAGCCTCCTTTTGCCTTTGGAAAAGGATGAAAACACACATTTTCAATAAAAATGAGGGTCACTTTTAGCAGTACAAGTAATACTACCCAAATTATTGTTCTGTGCAAGAAATTAAAGGAAGAAAAGTATAAAATAGGGGATTGTAAGTGAAATATTTTAAAATGGATTGCAACTCAGTAATCCAAGAAAATTTAGGAGACAAAGAGCAATTTATAGGATTTGAGATAGTCCCATTATATAGTGAAGGTGATGTGTGCAAAAAGTCCTACCTGAATATTCAAACAGACCTCAGGCAGTATAGTCTAATCCAGACATGCACACAGATAACTTGAAAGTTCACATGAGTATACAGGTGACCACAGGCTCATTCCCTATACTGGACACAACACTCATCACCCAGGGCTGGAGTACAGAATGATGGCTGGAACATGTGTCAGTTCAGTTCACACGCCTATGGTCACATCACTTCTTTGTACTACAATACTACAATAATGTGGGGAAAGAATCCTAGGCAGGAGGTAAAACTGCTATACAATAACTTTGTAATTGGTGAAGGTATTCCAAGTAACTGTTGAATCAACCATTGAATATTTGTTAGCAAAATTTATACATGAAAGCATAGGTCATTTACTTGGTCTCACAATAATGGGAAACTAAAAGCACAGGTTATATAAGAGAAAGAATTTCTGAAGAATGGTTAACCTGTCTCAGTCACAATTCATCATGTGAATTGCCTAACACTTGCTGAGGTGTGATTGTATCTAAGAATTCTAAACACATGACATTTTCAGAAACTTCTCCCTGTAATCTTGCTAAGTAGTGCAGAAGTTTGCCTTACAGTAAAGGTTTTTCCAATTACATTACAATCAAAGGATTTTCTCTTTGGTGAGTTCTCAGCTAACCATTGAGAGATGACTTATGGTAATCTCATTTCTGAGTCACTTCTTGTGAACTAAAGACAGATTACAGGAGATGAATTTTTTAAACATTCCTTACATTTATTTTTTTCTTTATGGATTCTCTGATGTCTATTGATATCTAATTTCTGGCTAACTGTTTTGTCATATTTTTTGAATTCTGTATCAATGTAAGCATGAATTCCGGAAAATACTTTTCAACATTCATTACACTTGTAAGAAAACCCCTGTGCGAATTCTTTGATTATAACAATTGATTTTGGAAGAATGATGTTTTTCACACTAATAACATTCATTAGCTTTCTCCTTTACATGAGTCCCTGTTGTATGGGCCATGGTTTCTAACAAAAGGCTTTGTCACAAAGGTTACATTGATTTTGGGAAAAAGCTCTTCCACATTCAGTATATCTTAAACTATTTCCTTTGTTTGAATTCCATGATGTGTTATGGGGCATTACTTCTGACAAAAGGATCTCTTACATTTATTACACTCAAAAGTCTCTACTCTAAATTCTCTGATGTATAAGGCATGATTTTGGCAAAGAGCTTTCTAACACTCATTATATCCATAAGGTTTCCCCCCCATGTGATTTCTGATGTCTTAAGAGGTGTGACTTCCAGATAAAGGCTTTTTCACATGCATTACATTCAAAAGGGTTTTCCCCTATATGATTTGATGATGTGCAGTTAGGGTTGAATTATAGTTAAAAAGTTTCTGAGTCATTACATTCATAAGGTTTCTCCTTGTGTGAATTCTCTGGTGCATTGAGTTCTTCTCACTTATTGTCAAAGGCTTTTCACATACATTACATTCATAAGGCTCCTGCCCTGTGTGAATTCTCTGGTGTTCAATAAGGTCTGATTTTTGGCCAAAGACCTTTCCAATAGTCATTAGCTTAATAAGGTTTCTCACCTGTGTGAATTTTCTGGTGTATAGGAGTTGTGATTTTTCACAAAAGACTTTTCCAGTCATTACATTCATGACATTTCTCTCCTGTGTTAATTCTCTGATGCATTGAGTTGTGATAATTTCCAAAGGCTTTTCCTCAGTCATTACATTCATAAGGTTTTCCCCTGTGTGAATTCTCTGATGCATTATTAGGCTTGCCTTCCGGCCAAAGGCTTTTCCACAGTTATTACATTCATAAGGTTTCTCCCCTGTGTGAATTCTCTGATGCATTATTAGGCTTGCTTCTGGCCAAAGGCTTTTCCACAGTTTACATTCATAAGGTTTTCCCCTGTGTGAATTTCTGATGCATTATTAGGCTTCCTTCTGGCCAAAGGCTTTTCCACAGTTATTACATTCATAAGGTTTCTCCCCTGTGTGAATTCTCTGATGCTTAGTGATTGTGCTTCTGGCCAAAGGCTTTTCCACATTCCTTACATTCATAAGGTTTCTCCCCTGTGTGAATTCTCTGATGCATTATTAGGCTTGCTTCTGGCCAAAGGCTTTTCCACAGTTCTTCATTCATAAGGTTTCTCCCTGTGTGAATTCTCTGATGCATTATTAGGCTTGTCTTATGGCCAAAGGCTTTTCCACAGTTACTACATTCATAAGGTTTCTCCCCTGTGTGAATTCTCTGATGCATTATTAGGTTGGTCTTATGGCCAAAGGCTTTTCCACAGTCATTACATTCATAAGGTTTCTCACCTGTGTGAATTCTCTGATGCACTATTAGGTTGGTCTTCTGGCCAAAGGCTTTTCCACAGTCATTACATTTATGAGGTTTCTCCCCTGTGTGAATTCTCTGATGCCTCATGAGATTTGATTTCTGGCCAAAAGCTTTTCTACAGACATTACATTCATGTTTCTCCCCAGTGTGAACTCTTTGATGAATTATGATGCTTGACTTCCGGCCAAAGACTTTTCCACAGTCAAAACATTTATAAGGTTTCTCCCCTGTGTGAATTCTCTGATGCATTTTGAGGTTTGATTTATGACCAAAGGCTTTTCCATATTCATTGCATTCATAATGCTTCTTCCCTTTGTGAATTCTCTGCTGATTGATGAGGTTGGACTTGTTCAAAAAGTCTTTTCCATAGTCATTATATTCATGAGGTTTCTCCTCTATGTGAATTCTCTGTTGTGTTATGATGTACGGTTTTGGGAAAAAGACTTTTCTACTATCAGTACACTCATGAGGTTTCATCTGTATGTGAATTTTCTGTTGTCTAATGAGATCTGACTCCTGGTGAGTGGCTCTCCACATTCAATACACATATGGGGGTTTCCCTGTATGTGAGTACGGTGATGGATGTTATGGCAGGACTCACAACTGAAAGATTTTTCACAAGGTTTACCTGCATGAGTTTTTTCTCTAATATGGTCTCTGATTTATGGCAAGATGTGATTGGTAAATAACAGGTTCCACATATCTAATATATTCATAAAATTTCTCTCTTATGTGGGTTTGTTGACGTACTGAGGTTAGCTTTTGTGGAAAGCATTTATTATTTGAGTTGCCTTTCCAACAGTGATAGTTGACTTATTACAGGTTTCTCCCTTATGAACCTTCTCAGATTTAAAGAACATCTTCCTTGTGAAGCCTTTCCCTTGTCCAATATGCTCAAATGTCTGATTCACAGTCTGAATCTTGTGACACTGATTAAGAGGCTCACAGAACTGGAGAGAGTTCCCAGGTACCTTAGTGGCATCAAATTTCTCTTCAGCTTGTAGTTGATCAGACCCCCTTTGGGGATACACATTGTGACATACATTGCATTCTTCAGGTTTCATTCTTAAATAATTTCCCTTTCTGATATTTAGTTTTGGAATATGGCTTGAACATAAATTAAATGTTTTTCTTAATTCAACTCTCTTTGGAGTTGATGTGTTGTTATTTTTCATAACATTAAGATTCAGACTTTTGTCCTGACATTCCTGGTTGGTCCTAATCAGGTCATCCCTTTTCACAGCAACTGAAATGAGAAAAAAATAAACACTTCACTGAATCACATAGAACTTTCTCCTTGATAACTTATGTAAATGGAATCAAGTTACTTATTATTCAATTGGCATAAGATATTAACAAAATCAATACGAGAAACTTAGTTATGATTATTATATGGCTTTTCTCCTTAACACATTAATATATTGAATAGTATCAATAGTCTCCCAATGCTCAATCATGATTGTGTTCACTACTTGAATTCTGTTCAGATATGCCAGTTTGAAACCTGACTACTCTTGTCTCCAATACAACTCTCTGCTTTGAATATAACTCTCTGCTTATGTAACCTGGGAGGCTGCAGATGACGGTTTATGTGTTTGGGACCCTGTGATACACCAGAGAAGACTAAATAGAATTCCAGGATATTGGCATCAGACTAGTCAGACCTAACTGTTGCAGTCATTTGCAGACAGTGAGTTAAAAGATCTCTCTCTACTCATTGACATTCTGCTTTTATCAGAGATGAAACAACTACACAAGTTTTCAAAGATTAGACAAATATTTAGCAAAAATTTTCACCCCTTGCCTAGCAAACATTTTTTTCCTTGTGCTTTTGCTCCAGTTTATATTTAGAAAAATTGTGTATTTTGGGCTTCTCTAATATTTCAGAAATACGAGAAAGTTTTACTGGATCATTTACTTCAGGTGAAGAATGAAATGTGTTTGTATTCCAAACAGGATCACATTTAAGGAATAGTATATGAGTGTATGTTTCCTCATGTTTAGTCTTCCCTGGGATTTGTAGGATTTTTCAAATGAAAAACTTTTATCTGCAATCTATGACAGCTTCCCCATATTCCTAAGTAAATCTGACATCTTCAGCTTCTCATATCTGTTACTGGTACAGAAAAGTCACAGTATACCATCTTGGGTATAAACTTGATACCAGTTTAAAGAATTTGTTTCTACAACCCACGGGGTGCTCACTTTCTTTGAAAAGTGTTTTCTTATTTTTTTTAACTTTTATTTAATAAATATAAATTTCCAAAGTACAGCTTTAGATTATAGTGGCTTTTCCCCCCATATCTTCCCTCCTACCCACAACCCTCCCATCTCCCACTCCCTCTCCATCCCATTCACATCAAGATTCATTTTCAATTATCTTTACATACAGAAGATCAATTTAGTATATATTAAGAAAAAGATTAACAGTTTGCACCCACACAGAAACACAAAGTGTACAGTACTGTTTGAGTACCAGTTATAGCATTAATTCACATTGTGCAACACATTAAGGACAGAGATCCTACATGAGGAATAAGTGCACAGCGACTCCTGTTGTTGACTTAACAAATTGACACGCTTGTTTATGGTGTCAGTAATCACCCTAGGCTCTTGTCATGGGTTGCCAAGGTTATGGAAGCCTTTTGAGTTTGCCAACTCTGATCATGTTTGGACAAGGTCATAGTCAAAGTGGAAGTTCTTTCCTCTCTTCAGAGAAAGGTACCTCCTTCTTTGATGGCCCATTCTTTCCACTGGGATCTCACTTGCAGAGATCTTTCATTTAGGTCATTTTTTTTGCCAGAGTGTCTTGGCTTTCCATGCCTGAAATACTCTCATGGGCTCTTCAGCCAGATCCGAATGCCTTAAGGGCTGATTCTGAGGCCATAATGCTATTTAGGACATCTGCCATTCTTGAGCCTTCCTTGTATCCCGCTTCCCATGTTGGATCATTCTCTCCTTTTTAATTCTTTCAGTTAGTATTAGCAGGCACTAGTCTTGTTTATGTGATCCCTTTGACTCTTAATCCTCTCATTATGATCAATTGTGGACTGAAACTGATCACTTGTACTAGTGAGATGGCATTGGTACATGCCACCTTGATGGGATTGAATTGGAATCCCTGGTACATTTCTAACTCTACCATTTGGGGCAAGTCCGATTGAGCATGTCCAAACTATCTCCTCCCTCTCTTATTCCCACTCTTATATTTCAGAGATCACTTGAAAAGTGTTTTCTAACTAATTCTGAAAACACCAGCTGTGGTTATCTCCTCTCAATTCTTTCTACAAACACTCCTCTGTGATAATTTGAGTTTCTCAAGGCTTTTGATTAGTTGCCTCCTATTTTCACAGAACACTTCATTTCCTATGCTGTTTTGTTATTTTCTTGTTTTTCAATGACAATGAAAAATAAGAATTCATAATTCAAACTCTTCTCCCAAACAAATCTGAGCCATTCAACATGAACCTATGAGGTTACTTGACCTTGGGATAGAAACTCATGAATTTCTTTTTGAGTCTAGGATCACTTATTTTCATGTTCCTATACAAGTTCATGCTTAGCTTTATGATTTTTGATGTCACAGCACAGAGGCTTATTCCTGATCATCTTTTAGCATTTACTCATTTATTAACTTACTTCAAAGCCAAAGAGACAAAGATTGAGGCACAAAGAGAATGAAAGAGAGGGTTGCCAGCCACTGAAGGAGTTAATAAATGCATGAAGGAAAAGGTATGAAAGTGTGGAGAATGACAAGTTAGAATTTGTAGAATGAATCTAACCTGGAAAAAAAAACCCTTAGTAACATCAGAAAAGCATTATATATATTTTTTTAATTTAAGAATATCTTCACCAAGAAAAAAAAGACAGACATTGGTATCCCCAGATATTCTAGAATACCTGATTTACAAATCCAGATGTCATCAGGAGTAAGACTTGAGAAAAATTCATGGAAAGAGCACCAGTCAACATCTGCTGCACTGCTTCTACTTTGGCCTCCCTGCCCATTATGTGCAGACTGACCTGGAAGGCTCTGATGCAAGCATTCTTCCACCATCCAGGGTTCTACTCCTTGCTCCAACTTCAAGATCAAATCAGGTTTGGTCATGCAGTGCCCTATTAATGGAAACAATGTCAGACTTTGTGAAATCACAATGTTGGGTTATTTAAAAGACTAGAGCTTGGTCCAGGTGCTCTGCAACAAAGGTACCAATTTGAATCCTTCCTGGATGTTAGAAATTCAGATTATTCATGTTCTCAAATTCTACACCTTCCAAACATTATACTTTATAAAGTGTTTACTTATTTGTCAAATAGCAGAAAATGTTACCATTGGGAATGTGATGGGTGTCACTCACCCAAGGAGAACAGGATGCTGTAGGTCTCCAGCATCACATCCCTGTACAAGATTTTTTGAGCATTGTTCATGTTCTGCCATTCTTTCCAGGTGAAATACACAGCCAGGTCTTCAAATCCTATCATCACCTGTAATAGAACACCTCTGGTCAACATATGAACTCTGTCACAAAACAAACACTAAAAGCTGTGTATGTTGTATACAGGTATGAAGGAAGAAGGAAGGATGTGGTTTCATTTTAGACTTGAGCATTTGGACAACCACATAAGAAGCATTAAACAGGGAGTCAAACTATTGTCTGAAAGCAGTGAAAATGCCCAAGCCGAGGGAAACAGGAGTTCAGATCAAAAGGGCTACATCTGTCCAGAGGAATTACATAACAGACTGAAAGGGGATAATATTAACTTTGAGTGAGCAATGTTAAAGTGAAGAATTTAGAAGTATTTAGGGAAAAAGACAAGATCCTATCAGTGAAGCCTTAATGAGAATGAACACAGAAGAATTTCCAGGAAAACATCATCCATATCACTTCAAATATGGCAGAGGACAAATATTTTAAAGAGAGGGCAAGCATTTAGTTTAGTGTTTATGATGCCAGCTAAGAAACCCTAGTTCTACTTCAGAGTGCCCAACTTGGATTTCCAGTGCCAGTTCTAGTTTCCGGCTCTCAGCTAATGCAGAACTGGGGAAGCAGTAGTGATGCCACCAATGAGGCAGGCATAGACTCCATTCCTAACTCCTGGATTCAATCCTGCTCACCTCTGCTTGGTATGGTTATTTAGGGAATGAATAAATGCATGGGAGCTCTCTCTCTCTCTCTCACTCTCTCTCTCTCTCTCTTTCTGTCCTTTAACTTCTTTCCCTATCAAGCTCATAAATATTTTTAAATAAGAACATTGAGGTAAGACAGACAATAGAAAATAGCTTTTGGCTTTGTCTATGATTATTCTACTGATGAACATTTGAAGAACTGAAATAACATCAAATTAAAGGAAAACAATGGAATTATTTGCCTAAAAACAGAACTTGGGGAAGTCTGCACTACAATCTGCATTTGTGACTATTGAGAGAAATGCATAAAGATTTAAGAAACTGAAGTAGGCATCTGCAATGTGATGTAGCAGGTTAAGCCTCCATCTGCAATCTGTCATCCTTTGAGCATACAATTTGACTCCTGCCTCTCTATTGCAACCCAGCTCCATTGCTAATACGTCTGAAAGAGTACTGAAAGATGGCCTGAGTATTTGGGCCCCATCCCCTAATATGGGTGACCAAGACGGAGTCCCAGGCTCTTGGTTTAGCCTGGCCCAGTCCCAGCCACTGTGGCCATTTGGGAAATGGAGCAGAAAGATATCTCTTTTTCTCTCCCTGTCTCTCCCAATCTCTATAACTCTTCTTTTCAAATCAATAAATAAATATTACAAAAACAAAATAACCTGCACTAGATTCTTTTCCCCACATTTTGGATCCTATACCTGAATCAAGTTCAGCTCCTCAAAACTATTAAGGACTGCATTACTCTAAAAATTCAGAAATGAATTTAACGGATATGTGTGTTAGTACTAGGCAATTTTTACCTTTGTAGAATTCTAAGTATTTATTTTCAAGGTAGCACTAAAATGTTGACCACTATGTCATGTATGTGACGATAAAGACTGGGACATCATGAACCAAAAGATTTAGGATATTTTGCTCTGAGGTTCAACTCAAACATGTAATATATATTTTGTCATGGCAACAGAAAGAACAGAGACCAAACTGCCCTATCTTAGATGAATGTAATGTTTCATAATCATGACACATTTGTCATTCATCTTATTTGTGGATATTCTCTGAGAACAAAGTTATGTTTATTTTCCTTTTTGATTAATAAACAATTATAGATTTCCTAAAATGAAAACTGACTACAAGCTGAGGAATAATTAAGAAAGCACTGCCTACAAATTTTGTAAAATAATGAGATAATAGTAAAAAAAATTAAAACTTTAAGGGCGATTATCCAAATAAATGAGGTTATCAAAGAGATAAACATTATGTTGTCACTAAAATTTACATTAGAGAAAGTCATTTTGAATTCATTCTTTTTCTATGATTTCAAAAATACCATATAGGATTCCATATATATGTGTGTACACTAGAACACTTCTTGTATTTTTAGACCTGAAAGTCTATAGAAAGAATGCAACTTACAGCATCACATTTTTGGCCAAAATTGCATTGGAACAAATATACATATATATAATGTATACTTTTTCAGTAATGATTTCAAATAACACCATTCCCTGTATCCATCCCTTCACAAGACCTTGGATTTCACCATTTCACTTCCTTTACCTATGAGACATCAGGCATGTGAGAGAAACACATTGTAAAGCATTTGCCTTCTCAGATTTTCCTTATTTGACACAGTTATCTTCAGGAAAACCCTGGGGTCTGCTTGTGGAAGAGATAAGATCTAGCCAAGATTCACTAGAAATTACCATTTGAGTGCTGCTCCCCTCCTGATTCAATTCCAGCTCCCTGCAAAATCACATACTGAAAAACACCTCCTGGGAAGCAATGCCTCAAGTAGGTGAAGGCCTTTGCGCCATGTCAGAGACTTGGATGAGT